CCTAAAAAATTGAACCGCTAGCGAGGGGGGCTGCTAAAATTTCAAGCTTCGAGTTTCAATATCTTCATCCCCCCCCCCCCTTGTCATATTAAATGAACTTTCCCTTACCAGCTGTCGTCGTTACTGTCATACAAAAGAATATGGAGTTATAAAGGTTCCACTCAGCTTTATTGGCAGCAGTGCGCGTATTACTTATTTCAGCTAGAACACCGTCGAATATGTCTAGATCCTGTGATGTAAAATTTCGTACTAAACTGTCGACTGGAGTGAGTAATGTCTGTCGGGGATTTCTCACGACCCCGTACGCTCGTACACTTAACAATCAAGAGGACTGTATACTTTTCGAATACAAACGGTTTATTACAATCCAGATCAAACAATCTAATACAATCACGTTCAACGATCAGAGACCGGCGAACTCACACCCAATCCTACGTTTACAGAAGTTTTCTACCACACGAGACAGTAATTTTCCGAGCTCACAATATTGTAATGTACCTAAATTAAGCTATTATTGCAAAATAACACGTTCTTTGTCCTTATTTGGTTCAGTAAATTCACTAAGAATTCTGGTCACAAATTGTGAAATATCGAGACTATTCTTATTCGTTACAAAGTTCATGTTGTGATGTAGTCATATGTTTCTAATTTTACATTAAAATGCTCATAAAGTTAATAGTAATCAAATGACGCTTATCGGATTTCTTTTCCGACAATGTCTTCTGTCCAAAGTCGGAACTCTGCCGAAAAAGTAGAAAAAGGAGACATTGAATCAAATAGAGCTTAAGTATAGCCTGAGATCATGCCTTCCGCCCTTGAAAAAAAAAAAAAAAAAAAAACGCCTGATCGCAGGTTAACAGAACGGGGGCAGCTGTAGTGTCAACTATTACTACAGTGAAACCTGTATTAAGCGGACACCCTCGGGGAATGCTGTAGTGTCCGCTTAATACAGGGTGTCCGCCTAATACAGGTTTTGATAGTTAACGTCATATGAGGTGTCAAATGCCCTTCAAATGAACAGTAGAAACGTTTAGAATACTCCCAGAGACTGACGATATACGTTTGCATTAATTTCTTTATCAAAATGAACCAGTTGATCATAGTACCATAAACATAGATTGCAACTCAAATTTGAAGAAATCAGGTAAGTGAAAAAAGCTTTATACAAACAAAACGAAATGGAAAACAATACAGTACGGTGAAACTAATCAAATAAGTTCGTCAAGTCAAGTTTTTAAATGAAAAAATCGAAAAATTTGTGGGAGGCAATTCGAGGCAATCTTTCACATTTCCGGTGTCTGGCATGTAAGGTGATGGAATTTAATTACAAGTGTCTGTTTAATACAAGTTGGCAACAATAGAAATGACCATTTCAGGTACGTTTTAGGTGTCCGCGTCCGCTTAATAGAGGTGTCCGCTTAATACAGGTTTCATTTAAAGTAAATAAGGGAAACAAATTTTGGGACTTCGGCTACTGTCCGCTTAATAGAGGGTGTCCGCTTAATACAGGTTTCACTGTAGTTTACTTTTAAAGTATTACGATGACGAGTAGAGCATAAAGTTTGATACACAAAATAATAATTTGCATAGTTTGAAGTACCGGGGCAATTCTTAACAAGGGGAAAATCATCTGAGAAAAGTGTTACTGGCTTGCGCGCGCCAATTTGGAAAAGATTCTTTTTTTTTGGTATAAACTAATTCTTGTTTTGAAGTTTGCTTGTAAAGAGACGTCTGGGTACGAGGCAGATCGTACCCCATGATCGTATGTCGTCATTGCTGCTGCAGATCCGTAGCAAGAATAAAATGACTGGGGGGCTGAGCGAGTGGTCCACATTGACCCCCCCCCCCCCCCCCCCCCCCCCCCCCCCCCGCCAAACACCNAACACTTGACATCAACACTCGAAGCGATAAACAACGATTTTCCAATTTTCTGGCACTATATCAGTGAAAATTATGGCAAAAATTTTTCGTCGTGCTGCTAATAAGGTTAAAAATTGTAGAGATGGACATGGTTCTCTTGGTTTGCTCATATTTGACGAGAAAGTCGTGTATGAAACTTTTCAGAAAGTTGTGATCGCCAAAGCTGACGGTGAGTTTTCTAAGTTATCCATCATTAAGAGTTTTGCTGGAAAGAAGTAAGAGCTGAAAGCGGATTACATAAGAAAAGAAGGATTTTTCTTTGCTGAAGGTTAACTTTTGATTGATCTTAAGCCTTGTTGGCTATTTCTTGGGTGGGTAGTTTGGGTATATCAAGTTTCAAACCGTGATTATTTAAATTAAAATATCATCGTATCATAGTTTGATATCGGTAGAATGCACGTCCCACGCTCATATCCTGTTCATGGATTTAACATCATGTTCAGTGTACTTGTGGACAAACTACAGAATACAGGGCCATGTCTTAAAAGTAGCTCGGTAGCTCGCTTGTCAAGACGAGTGTTATTGAAACGAGAAAGATGTAAGACATGTAAGTCTTTAGTTAAGTGTAGGACAGAAATAAGAAATAGAGGATATTACATGCTCACGCGTGGATACGAATTTTATCTTCGAGTGTTCAACTCAATATATCACAAGTGAGCGCAGTGAACGAGTGAGATAATTCGAGTTGAACACTCGAAGATAAAATTTGTATCCTCAAGCGGGCATGTAATATTCTGTTTATATTATACAGACACCAATGGCGAGATGCTGTGATGCTCTTTTCCTATTGGCTGAGACTGAAGTAGCCATGACAACCATGATATCTTCACATGTGAAGGATAAAAATTGTATCCACACTCGATACCAAATTTTCGTTACTGGAAAAATCCTGGTATTTCATCGGTGTCTATATAATAAATACATACTAGGGTATCTAAAAGATAGTAATGCTGCGGCACATTCTGTTGATACTGGCATTAGTTAGGCAGTGAGACTTAAAAGAATCGAAAATGACATTGAATGTCCTATTTACATGTTGGAAAGTACTAGAATAATTACTTTACTGGGTTAATCATGTATCTACCCTCTCAAAATAAAGAACATTGTATTGTATTGTATTGTATATCAGTTTATAGAAAGAACTCGTGGGAACGTTGTTTAGAAAATGATCAAGTGGTTATAACTCTGGTTTTCCCACAGTAAATTGTAGGAAATAATAGAAATTCAGATTGTTTATCCATATATATATTTAATATACGCTGCACGATATTTTCTCCGGAAACACAATACTTTTCTTGCTGTTTGTTGCACTTTATTAAGAAAGAGTTATTTAGCTATATATTTATAGAAAACAACAACACAAAAACCGGAAAAAGAAAGAATAAAGGAGATATGAATTT